AGTAAGATTTGTGGAAGTAAGGCAGTGCTACAACAGATACCACTATGTTGGAAAGAAATGAAAAGAGAAATTAAACGCTTCAGTAAGTCTGACAAGTTAACTCTGTTGTTGTCCGTGGTGTTTGTCTGGTGATCATTGTTTTGTTTCTGTGTATCTTGCAGAAACTTTTTCTGAGTTGATAGATCCTACAGCTATTACTACAGCTATGTTCCACATTCTGCATCTGTATTTAGGGCCACCAATTCTTTGTCACCCTCGTGTAGCACTGACAAACCTTGAATGTAGTCCAGTCACTCAGGTGAGAAATTTCTTAGAAACTCTTCTCTGGCCTCTAGTTTACATCACTACAGAGTGATGAAAAGGTTCTACAGGCCTGAATTTGATGTGGGTGCATTCTCTAAGCTTTAATCACGTAGGCCCTTAGTCCCATGTGGGGAGTGATGGTAGCTGATAGGGCTCAGTGTCGTGGGCTAGATCATATGTCTGTGTCTTAGCACCTGGGTTACTCTTAATTTTAAATTACAGTACCTTCTGAGAAGGTACCTTTAAATTCCATAGGCCACTATGATCCAGCCAAGATGCCAGTACCTTGGAAGCTGTCTTTACAATGAAGGCAAATGTGGATCAGTTTTGATTCATTGTTTATTTTTTTTATTATATGAGGCACAGGGGGAACAGTGAACAAAACTTGAGAGAAGTCAAAATTTCTGCCCTGGAGCTTATTGTCAAGTTGGGCATACATGAAGAAAACTAAACAAGTGAAGTATGTAATATGTGGGAGAGGTGGTAATACTTACTGGCCCTTCTCTGTTTTGTCCACATTCCCTATGATCCTTGTAGCTAGCAGGGAGATAAGACTAGTGTTAACCAATGAGCTGTGAGCACTTCTGGGCGAAAGCATAGAAAGATTCCTTTCCTGTTTTTCTGTGAGATGAAAGGACCCAGCGTTTCAGTTGGTTCAGGTATAGGAAGATACTTTGAGCATCTGGAAATGCTCACCACCATCTCAGCTTGAGCTATTGACATGAGCAAGACACAAACTTTTACTTTAGTTTTGCTTTTTTCTGGTGTTGGAGATTGAACTGAGGCCCTCATGTCTGCTAGGAGAGTGTTCTGCCAAGAGTATTCAGAGCTCCACTTTATAATGTATTGAATCAGATTTGGGGTTGTCTGTTTGTGTTAAAATATAACCTGTCTGGTCTTAAGTAGTATGTTTAATGATCTTTGTGCTTTGGAAAAAAATAAAAGGCAAGGCTTTATATTTTAAAATTGAGTGACTGATAAATTCCATATTGAAAAACTTTAAAGTAGGTGGGTACCAGTGGCTCATGCCTGTAATTCTAGCTATTTGGGAGGCTAAGATCAGGAGGATTGAGGTTCAGGGTCAGCCCAGGCAAATAGTCTTTTAGACTCTGTCTCCAAAATAACCAGAGCAAAATGGACTGGAGGAATGAAGCCAAGGAGCTTTTGCTTTTCCAAGCACAAAGTCCTGAGTTCAAACTACTGTCCCAACAAGAAAGAGAGAAAGAAAGAAAGACTGAGAGTCAATGAAGATCTGAAGGAGGAGAGGAAAGCAGGCACACTGAGAATGTGGAGAAGAACATGGGAAGTAGCTAAAACATCAGGTACAAAGGCCCTGAAGTAGGAGCTTGTGTGGCATAGATGTGAGGCCCAGCAGGGAGGCCAATGTGACCTGAGTGAATAAGCAACAGGGAGAGGAAGTAATTGGTGAGGTGACAGGGACATGGGCTCTTTACCTGAGGAAGCCAGGGCACCAAAATAAGATTTTGAGCAAAGAAGTTATATAACCTACATTTTAGAGACAAAGTTATGGCTACTGTGAAACTAAAGAGAAACAAGCATAGAAGCTGGGAGATCAGTTAAGAAGCTGTTGGGTGCAATTAAAAGACAGGTGATGTCCTAGGGCAAGGCAGGTGGTGGAGAATAGTCATATTTTTGGCTAAGTTTTGAATATAAAACTGCCAGTATTTGCTGATGATTCAGATGGAGAGAGTAGGGAAGAAAGAAGAGTGTTAAGGATAGCTACAAGACTTTTGAGTTGGACCCTGGAAGGTGGAATTCCCTTGAGGATGGGAGCCTGGCAGTAGCCAGTTTGAAGCATTGAGTGGGAGATCTTAGTGGACATTGCAGTGGAGATCCTAAGCAGGCCCTTGGCTGTTTTCATTCTCTGGATTGTGCTGGGGTGGGGCAGGTGCCAAAGACTGGAGGACTGCACTAACCACATGTATTCTTAGCTCTGTTAAGTAATTTGTGATATCATCAGTAGTCTTGGATATATGTATGTATTTCTGAGATGGTTTCACTATGTAGCCCAGGCTGCCCTGGAACTTAAGATCCTCTGGAGTGCTGGAATTAGGTTGTCCCACTTCACCCAACTAGTAGTGATTTATTTTAATGAATTTTAGCTTGAATGCTTAGCAAGCATGTAGAGTCCTTTCAGATGAGAAATCCGAGTTTAAGTGGACTCACTCCCTCAAGGGTCCCTAGAGAGCAGAACTCTGGGCTTGTAGCAAAGTGAGGTCACTTGGGTCTCAGGGATAGGTAGGTAGCAGTCTTCATGGAAATAATCAGAACTGGATGTCAGTCTTCAGGATGTGGACATGTGTGGGATGAGGGAGAAAGTTTCAGGAGAACCCTGACCCTTAAGGGAAAAGTCAAAAGAACTTTGGGGGTTTTCTTTGGTGGGGGTTGTGGGGCACTCAAGTCCCCCGCACGTTAGGCATGTACTCTTTATCCACAGCATAGCCCAGGAGTCTTTTAAAAAGAAAATCCATAGATGAGGTATGACAACCTGGGATGGGGCCCACAAGCAGCCCAGAGCAGAGGTGTTTTGAAGAAGGAGGGAGGTTTTAATAGTGAGCAGGGTCCAGTTTGTTGGGTCAGGCAATAAAAGACTCAAAATTTGGGTTCAGGGAGTTTACTCATAGAGGACTAAAAGTGGTGACATAGGACACATGGAAAGGTGACCCATGTGGATCTGGACAGCCTCCAGCCCTCCTCTGTGACCTTTACCCTCTTCCTTCCCCTCTGACTTAATTTCTCTAGGATAGTTAATCTTAGCAGATTGTGAGGATTAGATGGATGTGCTTGAGAACTCAGGAGAAAGCCTACACAGTAAGCACTGCTTATGCTATTATTTGTATCATTGGAATTGATGTTGCTAAGAAAAGATGGGAGGGTGTGACCTTCAGAAAGTTAATTCCACATTGATGAGTGAGTAGAAGCTCATGGTATAGATTTTGTTCCTTGGTCACTGAGCCTCTCTCAACCACTTCATAGTGATATGATATGAGAGCCCCAAAGGCAGTGTAAGAAAGGGCATTAGGGAAAAGAATCTCTTCTACTTGCAAAGGTTAACCTGAGATGGCCTGCAGTACCACTTACATACAAAAGGTAGCAGCATGGGATCTCAGTTGGAGGCATTGGTATTCATGGTGTCCAGAAGTCAGTGAGTGGTAGTTAACATTTGTAAATTATCTCATACTGCATAAGGGAAAAGAGGGCTCATATTTGTTGGAAATAGGTGTCAACAGCTGGATGGTGACAATATTGTGATCTAATTCTATTTCAGCTTCACTGTGTCAGGCAATAATGGAAAAAATAATCCCCGACTCCTACCACCTCAGTGGAAGAATGAACTCAGTTTTTGTAGTTAAGGAAGTTGGAAACCATTTCCTTTGCTGTCATTTTTCTGTGTTGCTTTCTAGCAAGCACTTAACATGGGGCCTGTTTCCACGTCTCTGATGGTGCTAATAATGCCAATTTGATTGGCTTGCTGTGGAATTCACAGAACCCCAACAGCAGACAACATGTCACACATAGCCTGGGATCTGGTTTCCACCCAGAGGCAGTGCTGTTTCTACCCTGTACAACTGACCCAGAGGTATTCACTGGCCACTGTCACCATTACCTCACCCAGAGTTTCATTAATTGTCTTCCAGAGAGATTTTAAGTTTTCTAATTTACTTGCAGGTTTGTTTTGTGTTTTTAAAGTTATGTTGTTATTTTCCTATTTCTAGGAAATAGGTAGGGCTACTGTTTGGTAACTAACAGTTAACTTAAGTCCATGAAATTTGAGCAACTTGCCTGTCCTTTTTTCCTCTCCCTTCTGTGTTGAGGAGCAAAACCAGAACTTCACTTGTGCTAGGCAAACACTTTGTCACTGAGCTACATCATCAGCTTGTCCCCCTTATTTTCAAATTAACAAAGTATAAAATTGAATTCTGTCTCTAAACATGTATTTTGTATCCTTCATCTAGTTTTTAGTTTGTTTTTTAAAAAATTCATCTTGGCAAACAAGCAAGCCTTCTCCCCCACCCCCCATGCATGGAATTATATACATAGCTAAAGGAACTGTAAATAAAGCAGTTTGGGGGATAATCTTGCAGCACTAATAAAAGGCTTAAACATATTCATAAATATTGACCAAGCATTTCACTATCTAGAAACACATACAATATCTAGAAACAAAGTCTACAGTGTGTGTGGGGTGGGCTACAAAAATGTAGGTGAAAATATTTTTTGCAAGTGGTATAGTTTTTCTTGTTAGGACAGATAAATACTAAATATTTTTAACATAGGGTAGCTCAGTAAATCTGCTTATTTAGTGAAATAGCATGTAGACAAAAATGAAACATTAGTAGTGTATTATTTTACAAATACTATAGCTGATTCTAAGTTCTACCTATAGTAAAATATCTAAGAATATTGAACATTTTTTTCATTCCTTTTTTGGGTGGGAGAGCAATAACTGTGAACTCAGTCTTTCACTTGTGAGGCAGGCTTCCTACCACCTTAGCCATTTCACACTTGACCAGTCCTGTTTTGTACTGGGTATTTTTTAGATAGGGTCTCATGAACTATTCGCCCAGGGCCATCTTTGAATTGCAATCCTGCTGATCTCTGTCTCCTGAGTAGCTAGGATTATAGGCATGAGCCTTTGGCTCAGCTAATTTCACATTTTGTTCTCATTGTATTAGATGGAGAAAGGAAGGCGTCACCAGTTAGAGAACTGCACTGTTCTGTTGTCATTCAGACAGAATTGGGATCCAGTTTCTCGTTGTCTTTATTGAGGATTTGAGTCAAGAGTCCTAAGAGGTTGAACACTGCTGCTGGAGGCTGGCGATTCCTGGGAGAATGGCAAGGAACAGGTATGGAATTGCCTGTGAGGGGTTCATGTTCCAGGTACCTGAGGATCCTTCACAGAGATCACAGGTGGAGGGGCCCACAGTAGCTCCTCAAAGTAAGCAGGAGTGCCACGGTCCTGGTATGTAGAATATGAGAGTTCAGAGCATCTTCACAGAGAGGAGCTGAGAAGTTATTGTCCTCTCATCTGTATCTCAGGATCCTGTCCTCAGAATATTGCCTCTCCATAAGGACAAGGCAAAGTTTTGTAACACTTGGCCCCTGGTTGGCCTCAGGAGTAGTACAATACACATCCTGCAAACTTACTAGCATGTGGAAACATTTTTTCCAACTTTCCTTTATATGCCAGTCAAATTGAGACATAGGGAAACTGCTTTTGATACTATGCGATTTTTCTCTCTGCCTTGCACTGCAAATTCAAGAAATTCCCATTCTTGCAGAAAACTTCAGATTTCATGGTCATTCCATGGTTTAACTGGCCTGAAGACTTTCCTGGTTCTTGGTTTTCTGGGTGTTTCTGGAATTTTCATTCTGAAGTGCCATTTCCTGTGTTTTTATTCCTGAGTTGCCTCCTGGGATTCTTCTCACTGCAGCCAAAGGGTCTATTCCAAGTTTCCAGGAAAGTCGGGGTGCCTGCATCTAACAGTTTCTTAATATCAAACATTTTTGATGAAGAAAAGTGATGTTGAGATGGCAGGTGCTTGATAGAAGAAATGAAAGCAATGTGGTGTGGACTCCGGGCCAGACACCATTTTATCTCATGTATATGAATAGTATGGTATGGGTAGGGGTTTGAGGGAATGTGGAACTGGCCTAGGAAAATGATTGCCATGGGTGTCAGTAGCACAGGTAGGTTTGATTGGGTCACAGTGTGATAGGTTGTATATGTGGAATGTCCATCTCAAGAGGATTCTGCTTGTGGCTAGTACATAGCCAGAGAGTGCTTCTCTTGCTTAGCAGGGAAGGGAGGAGTGATACTTCTGGGAGATCAGAGGAGGACTTAGGTGTTTAGGTAATGTCACTTTGCAGCATGGCAAGACCTCCAAGGGGCAGAAGTGAGTTCTTTATTGGTAGGTAACAACTGTCCAGTGAGGTCTCATGGGTTATGCAAAGCAGGTGAGCTCTAAGTGACTAAAATTTGCTTGTCTGGGCTACTTTTTAAAATAATTCAATGTGTAAACTTTTGAGTTTACCATCAGTGGGCTTTTGAGCTAAGGGACTGCCTACACTGAAGATGTAAGTGGCCCAGGGCCATGTATACGCAGGGTGTCCTTTAGCTCATGTTTAAACAATCTGATATGGAGGGATCATTTCAAATTGGGGAAAATATGGGCTCTTCAATAAAAGATCTTGAGAGAATTGTGTGCTTTTTGGGTATAATTATCCAAATGGATAAAAAGCTAAATGTAAGATGGTAAAATACTGGGGGGTGAGGTGGGGAATGCCTCAAGTAAAGAAAAGCCTCTTTTTTGAGAGACATTTAAAGAAGTCTATAAATGAAATTTAAAATACAGTTGAGGTGGGAATACAGTTCAGTGGTCAGTGTTAAAGCACTTGCCTACCATACACTAGGCCCTGGGTTCAATTCCAACACAGGACCCCACAAAAAAAAAAAAATAAAAGTAGAAAATAGTAAAAGTGTTGAAGTATTTGTCTACACCAAAAATAATTTTTTTGTACTGTAAATGAACAGCTTTGAGAAAATTCTGTAGAGACATAGGAATGTATCCTTACTATAGAAAACGAAATTTCAGTAAGAAAAATGGTAAGTAACTCAGTAAATTGATTAGGAGGAACCAGCATTTCCCAGATAAGTAGAGTCAAAATGCCAATTAATAAACAAAATAAAATCTGGGTACATGGCTCAAGTGGTAGAACACCTACCTGCCTAGCAATCAAGAGGCCCTGAGTTCAAACTCCAGTAATACTGGGGTGGGGGTGAGGGAACCAAAGTGCTTAACCTCAGTGGCTTTAGTTTTATATATTATGTTTATATATATGCATATTGAGTTTTTTAAAACTCTGATAGTAATGTGAATTTTACCTAATATTTTATAAACTCAAAACAAATATTAGATTTTTAAGTCACAAATGAGAAAGTTTTAAAAAGCAAGGAAATTGAAAGTTTAAACCATCATTATGTTTGGGATTATTAAACATGGCATGAACTAGGGTAGATGCACAATTGAACAGCAATTTGAAAATCAGAGAGGTATACATCCTATATATTTGTTATCTTAGAATTCACTTTTAGTATTGTTTTCTTTTCCTAAGAACGTGAAGTATTTTTCTATTTGGCATTCAGTAAGCTATTTTCATATTGTAAGCCTTTCATATATATGTGTGTGTGTATATATATATATATATATATATATATATATATATATATATATACTTTTTTTTTTTCTTTTGTGGTGCTGGGGATTGAACTTCATATTAGACAAATGCTAGACCATTTGGCTCGATCCCCAGTCCATGTTGCTGTAAAGGTGCAGAAATAGATGAAGTTACTAGAAATGCTCAAGGTTTGGGAGGTTGCTGTGTATTCAGTTTTCATAAATACATATAAAATTAGTATAAAGGGTGTCCTTACAGATCAGTGATGATACTGTCTCATTAAAAAAAAAGATCAATTTTGTGCCTCTGTGGTATCAAATAAGTTAGGAGAGAATTAATAAAATGGAAGCCTGAAATTAAGAAAAAAAATTACAACAAAAGGAAAAACAGTTGAAATAATAAAAAAAAAACTTCCAAAGAATAAACTCAAGACTAATTTTTTTAAATTTTAATTTAAATTTTATTTTTTAATTGATAGATGAAAACATAAAATTGTATGTCAGTGGGGTAATGTCTGATACATGTATACATTGTTCAGTGCTTACATCAGATTAAATGTGTACTTATGCAAACATGTATAATTTCTTACGGTGAAAGTTTCCACCACACTTGCTTCCTTTTCAGCCTTTTGAAATGTACTGTGCATTGTTGTTATGAACAGTTATCTGTAGGTACTTTCCGTGCTATATTTTTTTTTGGCACTTTTATAAAAATTGTGACAAAATAAAAAATTTACCATTAAGTGTAGAGCTCATTGGAATTTTGTTCATTCACATTGTGTTACCACACCTGTTTCCATGTGTAGTGATAATCACCTAAGTCACACATTGTGCTTTGGCCATTACTGTATAGCTCCTGAACTTTCATGTAATTATAAACTGGAACAGGAACCCGTTAAAGAATTAGTTTCCTATTTCTTCTTTCCACAGCCCCTGGTAAAGACCATTATACTTTCTGTCTTTATGAATTCGACTACTCTAGGACTCATGTGAGTGAAGACATAAAACATCTGCTCTGTGTGTCTTGTTTCTTTACTTAGCATAATGTCTTAATGTGTTCAGAGTTCATCTGTGTTGTAGCATGTATCTGAATTTCATTCCTTTTAGCACTGATTAATAGTCCCATTAGTTACGTACACACATCACATTTTATCCATCTGTTGCGCTCCCTTTCTCTTTCCCCTTATCTCTCCTCCTCTCCTTTTCTGCCTCATCCTCCAGGCTAGAGGCACACACCACTGCAACCACCTGTGATTTTTTTTTTTTTTTTTGGTGTGTTGTCTTTTCATATAAGTCAAGGTTGTTGAAGATTTTGGTGTCTGATTCATCTTAAAAAGGTTTTTAAACTCAAATTGAGTAGAGGTCAGAGTTCCTTTTTATTGCAGTGTTTCAGCACCTTTTGTTAGAAAAATGCTTTTCCCTGCTGAATTCTTTTATACCCTTATTAAAAATCATTTGTCTGCACATGGAGGTCTCTTTCTAGCCCTACTCTGTTCATTGATCTGTTTGGTTATATTTAACTCCAGTAGCTTTTCTAATTCATAATACGAAGTTTCCAAGTTTGCTTTGTTCTAATTCTTCTAGATTTGTATGTGTATATTTTTTTGGAGACAGAGTCTTGCTGTGTAGCTCATATTGGCATTCAGACTTGCAGTCTTCCTGCCTTGGCCTCCCAAGTGCTAGGAGTACAGGCAGTTGCCACCATGCCCAGCTTTCGCATTGATTCATGCATTCATTCAGATGTGCGGGAGGTAGGAAGGGATGCCAGAGATGGAACCTAGGGTTTTGTGCATGCTAGGCAGGTGCTCTATCACTGGTTCACACATGCAGCCCCAAGAAAAGGTTTTAATTCAGAGAAAAGCTGGTGAGATTTTACTTGATCTCCTTGGGAGACTGTTAGCTGGGATTACCTAGTCAACTTTTCTTCAGTGCAGATGCCCATTTGGGGTTAGTTTCTGTACCACTTGTGTGACTTAATTGGTTCTGTGCAGACTAGTCTTTCCAGTTGCCTTCAGGGAAAAGGCAGATGGTTGGAATCAAGCAGGGCTGGTCTGTTGCTACATAGGAGTTCTATTAAGCATGAAGATAAAGGAATTTGGATAGGTAAACTGTTGAAGTGGTGGATTATGACAAATCTCAGCTTGATAGATGGCACAATGGGAAGAGGAGGTAGCTTTTAGGCAACATGATGGCAGAGCAGAGGTGGCCTAGAGTCCTCTCCTAATTGGGAGAGATAGTGAGATAAGAAAGTTATGTGGGAAGTTTTGTTCGTAGAGTAGTTTCCTTCCTTCCGTCTCCTTTTCCCTCCCTTTCTTCCTCCCTTCCTTCCTCCCTTCTTCCTTTCTAGAGAACTAGGGATTGAACCCAGAGCCTGGTTTGTGCTAGGCAAATGATCTACAACTGAGCTACACCACCAACTCAAGAGAACAGATTTCAGGATCATTGGGAGGGGAGGCTGATTCCAGTGTTAATAGGGTTTAGGCACTGGCCTAAGGGTGTGTGTGGTGATGTGGAGTGTGGACATAAAACGTATGGGAGATTAGGACTTGTCCAAGATGGATGTCCTCATGGATAAGAGCCATCCTCAATGATGGTAGGTGCCTTAAACATGAAAGGAAGAACACAAGTCTGGTGTCAAGAGTATTTGATAAGTGAGAGAGTTGAACAGAGTTGTGCGTGGTGACATCACTTAAGTAGAGTGAATTTGGATCATACATGAGGAAGATCAGGGACTTACCACATTGCTTGGAGGTTTCACCTAAGTGAGATAAAGGCCTAGGAGCAGAAAACCTGTTGCTCAAAAGAAGAAATGCCAAGAAACAAAACTCAGACAATTGCCTCAGTGAGCAGGAAAGATGACAGACAGCTTTTAACTTCCCCTCTGTCCTTTCATTTACCACAGATGCCCTGCTTGGAGTGTCCCATGAGAATAAGAGAGTAGCTTCCTAGTTCTCCCAGTGCTTTGCTGTTAAGGCAAATTGACTGTCAAGATGGCAGCCCTTGGTCTGACTTCCACATTTGGTAAGTTATAGGGGTTTTTTGTTGCTGTTTTTTGCAGCACTAAAGTTTGAACTCAGCCTCATGCTTGTTAGGCAGGTGCTGTACCACTTGAGTCATTCTGCCAGCCCTTTTTATGTTGGGTATTTTCAAGGTAGGGTCTCATGAACTATTTGCCTGGGTTGGCCTTCATCCATGATTCTCCTGATTTCTGCTTCCCCCTTAGCTAGGATTTTAGGTGTGGGCCACTGGTGTCCCACTAGTTCTTGGGTTCTTGCCTTTAGAAATTGAGCTTATATGGGCCCTGCCACTTGAATAAGTTAAATGGAATGTGTAGACAGAGCAAGGGCTGCAAGGGATGGCAGTTGAGCTAAAAAGTGGTGGCGGCAGGGTATTTGTGGTCCTGGAACAAGTAAGAGCATGTGTGTAGCTGATATTTGAAGAAGGTGCAAATGATAAGTGATCTTGTATTACATATTTATTGTCTCATGGAATTTGAGCAAGGCAATAATTTCACCTCTCAGAACTTCAGTTTTTTAACTCATAAATTGGAGATATACCAGTTGAGAATCTGTAATCAAAAAATACAAAATGTGAAATTTTTGCAGTATGGACATGATGCCACAAGTGGGAAATTCCATACCTGATCTCTTGCAATGTGTTGCAGTCAAAACTCAGGTGACGTAAAATACTATATAAGATTGTTTTCTGTAATCTTTCTGTGAGGCAAAAATGTAATTTGTGTTTAGATTTGGATCTCATCCCCAAGGTACCTCATTTTATGTAAAAATATTCCAAAACACAAGAAATGTGACATATGAAACACTTCTAGTTCCATATATTTCGAGTGCAGGATTTTTAACCTGTGTATTGCTTCTCATAGGTTTGTGGGCCTAGCATCTTCTTTTCTGTCTTTGAGAAAGGAGCAGGGCTGTTCTCATTTGTTAATAAACATAGTGTGCATATGTGTGTGTGAGTGTGTATGTGTGTGTGTGCGCACTTGGGGATGTGGATACTTACAGGCTGGTAGTTGATTGACATGGATCTCATTTTCTTCTCTAGCTTTGTCTACTCAGGATCCTGCCTGTCTCCACGAGTCAGAATTTCCTCTTCCTTCCAAACACCATTCCTGTCCCCAGAATTTGGAACTGTTTGCTTGCCATAGTTTGGAGCCAACCAGTGTTCCTTCTCAGGTACCCAAGATCTTAGGGCTCCAGGACAGGATGTGTACTTCCTAGAATGCCCCTACCATCAAGCTTTGGATTTCTTTCAGATCCTCATCCAAATCTGATCAGGGCCCAAGAGAAATCTAGGGAAGATTGGATGGCTGTCCTGGTGTCAGGGAGTTAGAGGAAGGGATTTATGTACATAGCAAGTGTTTCTCTCATGCTTGAGGCCTACTCATGCTCAATCCAAGAGACAGAAGGGAAAGAAAGCTAAATGCTCTAATGAAACCTACTAAAAACTGTTTGAAAAGTGTGTATGTGGAGGGGTGCTAAGGTAATATAATGGAGACGGGTGAACTTATTTAAGTACACTGTATGCATCTATGAAATATTGATAATGAAATTCCCTTGTACTATTAATGAATCCTAAAATTAAAATATTTTATGGAAAAAAAAAGAGCTAAATGCTCTCAGGTCAAGCTTAGCTGTGGAGAGTGATTTGGTCCCTTGCCAGATTTGAATTTGAAGCCATGAGACAGGACAAGATTGCCTCCCAGGGAAGAGATGTCTTGGAATTGGCTTCTGAAATACATGCAGAAATCGACAGCACACCATCTGTAAATCCTGTTTTGAGTCTCTTGTGCCCAGTTTTCAGCTGCCAACATCTTCCTCTGAACTTAAATAACTGGTTTCTCACTGACTTCAAATGTATGTGGTGTTCTAGGAGTCCTTGACTTTCCAAGACATTGCTGTGGACTTTACTGAGAAGGAGTGGCCCCTGCTGGATTCCTCTCAAAGAAAATTATACAAAGATGTGATGCTGGAGAACTATAGCAACCTGACTTCACTGGGTAAGGCTGGCCTTGTTTCCTTATTTATTCATTCAGGAATCAGATGTTTTAGTACAGGTGTTTGCTATGACCTAGGAACTAGTCAGTGGTATGGAGCACAATCATGAAAAAAGCAGAGCAGGTGCCCACTTTCACAGGGTCTTTTGGCCATCACATTGTTCTTGGGACTATCTGAATGTGTGTGTTTGAACTTGAGCATAGGATTCTGAGATTTTTTTTTAGAAATCGTCATTCTTTTGTTGGGCAGAGGAGGACAAAACATACAGGTTTTTGTAGTTTTGTTTTTTATGGAAGACTTTTACTGTGTTCCTTAGAAATGTGACACTGTCATTTTGCTGCTCCTGTATCACACTTGTTCACCTTCAGAACCCTGAAGACCAAAATGTTGACCCCAGTCTAATGGAAGGGGTTTTGCTCTGCAGTCTTCCTTCAATATGTGTCTTTCCCTGTGAGTAGGGTATCAGGTTGGCAAACCCAGCCTCATTTCACATTTGGAGCAAGAAGAGGAACTGAGGACAGAGGAGAGAGGCATTCACCAAGGCACTGGTTCAGGTGAGTGAGTGGGAGGCAAATAAGTGTTTTGAGTGTCATCTCTAGTTAGTGATTGGAATGGGTACATATCCTATTTCTATTTAAAAAAAACCAAAAACCTAAAGCTCATTAATATATCAGAAAAAAGGTTTGTTTGGTTTATAAATCTGTAAACTCAGAAATAAGGGGCCATCATCCTGGTAAGGTCTTCCCCTAGCTGTACCATGACATAGCAGATGACATAATAGTGTGAGCAAATTTGAGAGGCAGTGATCTCTGGTGAGACAGGAGCAAGAGACCTAGGAAAAGCTAGTCTTAGTGTTTTTATAAAAGACCATTCTTTTTTTTGGTACATTTGTTGTACAGGGGGGGATTCATTGTGACAATTCTAAATAGGCTTACATTGTACATTGGTTAGATTGCTCTCACCATCTCTCGCTCTTGACCCCCTCCCACTCTGCTTAAAGCAATTGCTAAAGGTTTCATTGTTCTATTTCGTATATGAAGTCTATCATCCATACTCCCTCACCTTAATCTCCTTCAGTCACCCTTCCCCCTCCTACAAGTATTCCCCCCACACTGTACTTGTTTTACAATCCTGTCTTTCATAAAAGCACATTCTTAATGAAAACTAACTTATTCTATGAGACCAATGTTGGTCTCATCTGAAGGCAGCATCTCAAGGACCTAATTACCTCACAGCTCTTAAGGGTTGTACCACCTCAACATTACCACACTTAGAACCAAACATCTGATGCAAGCCTTGGGGGACATACAATCTCCAAACTCTAGTATGGCGATTTCATTAGGTAATTTCACCCAGGAAGTTTGAAAATGCTCTCTTTTATTGTCCTTTCATTCTCTCACTGATTCTTTGTTCTACTAGTTCCTTTACCTTTGAATGTGATGTTTACATATGGTGTTTTTTACTTACTCTTTGACACTTGACTTTCCTGATGATACTCTGTTGTTATCAACATCAATCTGAATCAACTGAGATTTTTGTCCTTTCACCATTGCTAAATACCTCACACAAGCACTTTTTGTTTACTAGTTAATATTAATTTGTATATAGTACTTTCATTATGGCATTTCCATACACATATATTTTGATCATTTTCACCCTATTCCTTTTTTACCCCCTTTCCCTTCTCTCCTTCCCCTTCTATCTGCCTAGTAGTTCCCTTTCTACTTTCATGTTCTGTTCCCCCCCCTAGATTCCATACATGAGAGAAAGCATGTGATACTTGTCTTTGCAGGATTGGCTTATTCATTCAACACAGTGATCTGAAGTTTCATACGTTTTTCTGCATACTACATAGTTACATTCAGTTGTATATATATGACACATTTTCTTTATCTGTTGTCTGTTGATGGCACATTGACTAATTCCATAATTTAGCTGTTGTGAATAGTGTTATGATAAATGTAGCTCTGCAGGTATCTCAATAGTAAGCTTTGCCTTTTATTTTTGGCAGTACTGGAGTTTGAACTCCAGGCCTCACATGAGTATGTACCCAGAAGTGGTTTAGCTGGATCATATGGTTGCTGTATTTTTAATTTTTGGAGGAACCTCCAAAACAATCATTTTGGTTATTTCCTTTTGCGTTGCCTTTTATTATGTATAGTTGGTATTTGCAAAGAAACCTGCCTGGTTTTGTTTCCAGAATCTTACCATTTTCTTTTTACATCAAGTTTATGTTTTTCTAATTTGTTTCAGATTGGGATAGTCCATCTAAAACCAAGTGGTCAATGCTTATGGATGATATTTTTGGAAAGAAAGCATCCAATGCTGTGACAGTGGTAAGATTTCCTTTAATAGATAAGCCTGGATCTTCCACATTAGAGGAGACTGGGGCAGCTAGAGTTGGAAAAACAGCTTACTTAGGAACCAGGCAACTGGCATCACCAAGAGGAATCTGTTCCAGAGATGAGGGTATAATTGTCCTTTGATGCTTGTGGGAAGCTGGTTCTTGGGCTCCCTATGGATACCAAAATCTGAGGGTGCTCAAGTTCCTTAAATACAGTGTTGTTTTGTATTATCTACATAAGACTTACACATATTTTCTGACATGCCTTAAAGTTTCTCCAGATTTCCTAAAATAACTTAATACAGTACAAGTGATTTATGAAATAAGCTGTCATACTGCATTTTCTAGGGAATAGTGACAAGGAAAAAATTGTGTAATGTTCAGTACAAATGCAGGTTTTTTCTTTGAATAATTTGGTTGGTTGAAAGGATGTGGAACCCACTGATACGGAGGACAGGCCTGGCACTTATGGTCATCCTGCAATAACCTTTTAAGTGCTAGGGTTACAAGGTGCTCAACCACATTTTCTCTTGGATAGAGCTCAAATGCGACAGGAACAATACATCTGTACTGCAGATTATAACATCTTGATACATAGTGATTTGCTTCTATTCATGTTAATGTATGCAGAAATAATTACTGAGAGAGAGTAGGTCTGTAGCTCCAGCTCAGTGGTAGAGTACTTGCTTAGCATGCATGAGGCCTTGGGTCAATCCCCTGCACCAAAAAAGAAAGAAAGAAGTGAATGTGGAAAATGCCAAGGTCACCTCTCCTCTCTTTACCAACAGGAAAGAACTCATCTTGGAGAGAAATCCACGGAATATGCCCACTTGTTTGAAGTCTTAAGCATGGGTGCTCATCTTACTCAGCCAATGGGAAAGCCACTGGCAAGAGGCCCTATCATCTTCACAACTATGGGGTTGCTTTCAAGAATAGGACACACCTAACACAGCATATGAGCATGTATGATGGTAGAAAAATGCACGAATGTCACCAGTGCCAGAAAGCCTTCACAACAAGTGCTTCCCTTACCCGGCACCGTAGAATCCACACTGGAGAAAAGCCCTATGAGTGCAGTGACTGTGGGAAAGCCTTCAATGACTCCTCAGCCCTCAGGAGCCATGCGAGAACTCACCTTAAAGAAAAGCCCTTTGACTGCAGTCAGTGTGGAAATGCATTTCGGACACTCTCTGCCTTGAAGATACACATGAGAGTTCACACTGGTGAGAGACCATACAAGTGTGATGAGTGTGGCAAGGCCTATGGCAGGAGCTGCCACCTTATAGCTCACAAGCGGACACACACCGGAGAGAGACCCTATGAGTGCCAGGACTGTGGGAAAGCCTTCCAGCACCCCTCACATCTGAAGGAGCATGTCCGGAACCACACTGGGGAAAAACCCTATGAGTGCACACAGTGTGGCAAAGCCTTCAGGTGGAAGTCCAACTTCAATCTGCACAAGAAGAACCACATGGTGGAGAAAACCTATGAGTGCAAAGAATGCGGGAAATCCTTTGGTGATCTCTTGTCGCGGAGGAAACACATGAGGATTCACATTGTGAAGAAACCAGTTGAGTGTCGCCAGTGTGGGAAAACATTCCGAAATCAGTCCATCTTGAAGACGCACATGAACTCTCATACTGGAGAAAAACCATATGGATGTGATCTCTGTGGAAAAGCCTTCAGTGCAAGCTCCAACCTCACTGCACACAGGAAGATACACACTCAAGAGAGACGCTACGAATGTGCTGCCTGCGGGAAAGTCTTCAGTGATTACCTATCACGGAGGAGACACATGAGCATCCATCTTGTAAAAAAACGTGTGGAATGTCGACAGTGTGGAAAAGCCTTTCGGAACCAGTCCACCCTGAAGACTCACATGAGAAGTCACACGGAGAGAAGCCATATGAGTGTGATCACTGTGGGAAAGCTTTCAGCATAGGGTCCAACCTTAATGTGCACAGGAGGATCCACACTGGAGAAAAGCCCTACGAGTGCCTTGCCTGTGGGAAAGCCTTCAGTGACCACTCATCGCTCAGGAGCCATGTGAAAACTCACCGGGGAGAGAAGCTCTTTGCACCCTCTGTGTGGAAAAGGCTCTAGTGAGTACAGAGGCCAAAAGGAAATCTGGTAGATGAGAAGAAGGTAGGAAGCATTTATCAGTTCTCCTCTTACTGTGCACAGAAGAATACATGGAGCTTAGGAACAATTCAATTTGTGCAAAAACTAAAAAACCTTGTTTCTTCTCTCTTAAAAGATTCCTGAGAATGTACACACTAGGGGGGGAATGTGTACCATGGTGTGGAGACATTGTGCATCAAGCTGTTAAGTGCACAGTAACTTAGGGAAAGAAATCTCATCTTGGAAACAACTTCAGCAATATATCCTATCTTGTGGGCACATTAGGGAGAATCTTTATCAATGCAGTGACAGGGAGTCTCCTGGTCTCTCACTTCATGAAAGAAACCACACTAAAGAGAAGAACCTTTAAAAGTAAGGAATGTGGCAAAGTCTATAAACATAGTGAGCCATCTGTCTGGTTTTTATGGCCTGCAAGCGAAGATGTTCCATTTTTAAAGAGGAAGCATATGTGCCAGAGACCTTACGTGGCCCTCAAAGCCTGAAATACTATTTTTGCCAGGAAGCGTTGCTGAATCTTGATCCACCGCAGTGATACTCAACTGGGGGCAGTTTACTGTGTAGGGGACACCTGGCATTATCTGGAGATGTTTTGGCTTTTTGAATGGGAGGAGATACTATTGGCTGTAGCAAGAAGACATTAGGGATACAGCTAACTATCCTGTAATGCACAGGAGTCCCCCACATTAAAGAATTATGTGTCATTATTGCTGTGTTAAGAATAATCTGTTATGATTCAGCTATTGCCTATAGCAATTCCTCAGTTTTTGTGATTGTGTGTGCACTCTCACTAGGAGAAACTTCTTTTTAAAATGCCAAAAAACAGATCCAGCTGTTTGAGGAAGTTTGTGAGATCTTGCACTGCTGATGATCCCTCTTGGAAATGATTTCCATCATAGTCATCTTGCCATTGTCATAGGGAATCTCCATGGAGAGAAATCCTAATGATATTTTCCTGTGAATGTGGGATTGCATTTATCGGTCTTTCATTGTGAAATGCGCCTGGCTCATTCATTTCTCTTTACTTTTAAGTTTATGCTCCTGACCCTCAGGCCTCATCACACAAGGTTTGTATATAGTATTTTTGCTACAACTTCATTCGTGATATCTTAATTTTCTTTTGAATAACTTACTTGACCACAGGCATATTTAGAATTGTATTGTATCACAAACTGGATAAGGTGGGTATTTTTTAGACCTGTCTGTTACTGATACCTGATTCAAATGTACTGTGATCATAGCATGACATTTTCATCATGTGGATGTTTTGGTATGTTTGTGTTCTGTCCAGCCAAGAACAGCATAGACTTCTGGTTGTTTCTTCGGTGTTTGCTGTCAGCTTTTTCCATATGGAAAGAATCTAGGTTCTGTCAGATAAACAAGGTGTGCTGTTAAAAAAATATTTTACAGGTTTTCTTGCTACTACTACTGTTCATGTCCTATGTCCTGGCCATTGGCAAGTAAGCAGAGGCCACTGTGTGTGTTCCTGAGGAAAGCTCTTGTAAAGTGGTCCTTACCTGGGTTTTTCTCTTCACATTTTGTTTTTTCCTCTTCTCCCTACTTCTTCCTTGCAAGCACCTGGTGCTAAAAGATCCATTTTGTGACCATGAGGGTGAAAACACAGTCTAAGGAGCATACTGCAGAAAAGTCACAGTGATCCTGGCCTGTCCTGTGGCTTGAGTATTTGCACCAGTCCTGGATTTGTTACTTTCAGAATTCCTATTACATGGATTAAAAATAAAATTAGTTACTGGTATAAGCTTCTGTGAATATTTTGTTATTTTTCTGTTTGCTTTACTTACTGATCAGAAGAGGGTTCCTTACTCAGTGGATGATGTCTGAAACCTATACACCTGGTCGTTGGTGAGTTAATGATTGCTCCCAATACCTATTGATACAATGTGTGCACTTTAAAAAAAATAATTAATTTTTTATTTATTCATATGTGCATAGATTGATTGGGCCATTTCTCACCCCCACCTTCCACCCTCTCCCTTCCCCCGCAATCCCCGTTGCTTCCAGGCAGAACCTGTTCTTCCCTCTTCTCCAATTTTGTTGAAGAGCAGGCATAAGTAATAATAAGAAAGTCATAGCGTTTTTGCTAGTTTGAGATAACTATAACTTTACAGAGAGATTCCTAGCATTGCTTCCATGCGCATGTATATTAGAACCCGAATTGATTAATCTCTACCAGACCTCTTCACTACTTCCCGGTCACCTTCCCTTAGTGACCTCTGTTGTTTTAAGGTTACTATATCAGCTCCTGTACAGTGGGCACATCAAACACTTTCAAGTTTTGGGTTTCTTACCTTTCCCTATTCCTCCTGTATGTATTCTCCCCTTAGGGTGTGACCCACGTCCAATATTACTGCATTTGTTTTAGGTCTGAAGTCCGCATATAAGGGAGAACACAAGATTTTTGGCCTTCTGAACCTGGCTAACTTTGTTTAAGATGATATTCTCCAGTTCCATCCATTTACTTGAAAATGATAAAATTTCATTCTTCTTCATGGCTGAGTAAAATTCTATTGTGTATAAATACCAGATTTTCTTAATCCATTTGTCAGTAATGGGGCATCTTGGCCGTTTCCATATCTTGGCTATTGTGAATAGCGCTGTAATAAACATGGGTGTGCAGGTGCCTCTGGAGTTACTTGAGTCTCATTCCTTTGGGTATATCTGTAGGAGTGGGATTTCTGGATCACATGGCAGATCTGTGTTTAGTTTTTTAAGAAGCCTCCATATTGTTTTCCAGAGTGGTTGTACTAGCTTGTATTCCCACCAGTAGTGTAGGAGGGTTCCTTTTTCCCCACATACCAACATTTGGTGGTGGTGTTTTTGATGATAGCTAAACTGATGGGTGAGGTGGAATCTTAGTGTGGTTTTTTGATTTGTGTTTCCTTTATGGCCAGAGATGGTGAGCATTTTTCATGTGTTTTTTGGCCATTTGGATTTCTTCTTTTGAAATAGTTGTGTTTAGTTCAGTTGCCCATTTCTTTATTTGTTCATTGATTTTGGGGGAGTTTAGTTTTTTGAGTTCCCTGTATGTTCTGGTTATCAGTCCTTTGTCTGATGTATAGCTGGCAAATATTTTCTCTCACTCTGTGGGTGGTCTCTTCAGTTTAGATACCATTTCTTTTGTTGTGCAGAAGCTTCTTTATTTTATTTAGTCCCAATTGTCCATCATTTCTCTTAGTTTGCAGAGCTGCTGGGGTTCTGTTGAGAAGTCCTTGCTTATATCTATGCTTCTAGAGAATTCCCTGCTCTTTTTTTGTACAGTTTCAGAGTTTCGGTCTATATTAAGGTGCTTGATTCGTGTTGAGTTGATACTACTACAGGGTGATAAACATGGATCTAGTTTCAGTTTTTTTTGCAAGCAAATAATAACTTTTCCCAGCAACATTTGTTGAAGAGGATATCTGTTTTCTTTCCATCATATGTTTTTTTGGTGCCTTTGTGAAAAATAAGGTGGGCATAGCTGAGTGGATTCATATCTGGATCCTCTATTCTGTTCCTCTGGTCTTCATATCTGTTTTGTGCCCGTACCATGTTGTTTTTCATTGCTATTGCTTTGTAATAGTTTGATGTTGGGTGTGATGCATTGGGTATTGGATACTCCAGCATTGCCTTTTTGCTCAGTATTGCCTTGGCTGTTTGCAGTCTCTTGTGTTTCTAAATGAACTTTTGGGTAGATTTTCCAATCTCTGTGATGAATTTCATTGGGATTTTGATGGGAATTGCATTAAACATGTAGATTGCTTTTGGTAGTATAGCCGTTTTTACTATGTTGATTCTACCAATCCATGAACATGGGGATCTCTCCACTTTCTGTAGTCTTCCTGAGTCTCTGTCTTTAGAGGTTTGTAGTTCTCCTTGTAGAGGTCATTCACATCTTTGTTAAGTTTACTCCTAGGTATTTGATATTTTTGAAGCTGTTGTACATGGAATTGTTTTCATACATTCTCTCCCAATTTGTTCATTGTTGGTGTATAGAAAAGCTAATGATTTTTGTAAGTTGATTTTCATCCTGCCATTGCTGAGCTGTTTATGGTGTCTAGGAGTTTTTGGGTGAGTTTTTTTTTTTTTGGCTCTTTGAGGTATAGAATCATGCCATCTGCCAAATAGGGATATTTTGCACAGTTTTTTACTATTTGTATTCCTTTTATTTCTTCTTCTTGCCTTATTGCTCTGGCTAGGAATTCCAGGAACTGATGTTGAATAGGAGTGGAGAGAAGTAGAAATATGTGCACTTTGAATTACTATTGGCTGTAGGTTTTTAAGTTTTTAAAATTAAGTTCTAATTACACTTCAAGTCGTTTATATACTTAAACATTTGTTTGCCTGAATTGTTTATTGATAGAAGGGTTGTAGATGTTACTGAGCTTACTATGGGATACATACCCCATAAGTCATCATAAGTTAGAAATTTTAGGTTGTACTGTTATTGAATCCAGTAAGCTGTTTAATCTAATGATGGATTAAGTACTGGTAAATCCATCATAAAGTTGAAATACCCAGTCACATCACCTAAGTCAAGTATTGGTAACCACTTTTCACAAAAGCCCAAGAAAGGAAAACTGTCAGCATCTCCTTCTTTTGCCTATTGCTCTGGCTAGGAAATTCCAGGACTTGTTAATAGGAGTGGAGAGAGTAACAATATTGTGCACTTTGAATACTATGGCTGTGTTTTTTAATTTTTTTAAAAATTAAAAGTTCTAATTACATTTCAAGTCGTTTATATACTTAAACATTTTGTGCCTGAATTGTTTATTTGATAGAAGTGTTGAGATGTTTACTGAGCTTACTATGGGGAATACATACCCCATAAAGTCAGGCATTAAAGTTAGAAATTGTTAGGTTTGTTACTGTTTATTTGAATCCGTAGCTGTTTAATCTAATGATGCGGATTAAGTACTGGTAAACCATCATAAAAGTTGAAATACCCGTCACATCACCCTAAGTCAAGTATTTCGGTAACCACTTTCACAAAAGCCCAAGAAAGGGAAAACTGTCAGCATTTTCTCCTTTTTGCACTTTTTTGGGATTTGAGGCAAGTGTTTAAATTACTTGTCTGGGCTATCCTGTAGGGCAAGTGGTAGGACTTTGGATTTGAATTCTTGGGTATCTGCTACAAAGTTCCAAGTTCTTTTTTTTGCCTGGCAATTGTTTTTTGTGATGTTCAGGGTCTTGGCAGTCAACTCAGGCTTCTTGGCTGTTGATGTTATATTCTCTTTTGGATTGGGCACCCGATGAAATAAGTTTTTGTGTATCAGATAGGGGCAAAGGCAAGATGAAACATTAAGCATGGTAATGCTGAAAAGGAATGTGGACCTTAAGCAGAGGTATTGGGTGGGGAGGAAAGGGTAGGGAGGGAAAGCTTCAATTTTAGGAGAAGCTTGAGAGACATAATATGGCAAAACATGCTGTGATATAACCATATTGACAGCCATGCAAGCAAGAGGCCAGTGTAATGAAGCCATAGCACTTTTTCCAAGTAGAAATATGTGTTTGATGAAGCAAGATTGATTGTCCTTATTGTCTAGTATTTTGTTCTGTTTTTTCTGTGCATCATGCAGTGTATAAGTGTATAGAAAGGGCAGACAATTCCTATGTACAAACATCTAGTCTGACTTCTAGATGTTTTAAAAAGGTTTTGCCAATGATGACAAAAGTACAGTTAGTAAAACTAACACATTAAAGTACACTTTGTGTTAAAATTCATAGGAAAAAACTATTCTTAAAAGCACTTAGGAAGGGAAATTGTTAAATCCCCTTGGGAAACATTACAGATGCATAAAAACTGACCACTGGGTGGATGAGACATGGAAGCGTCTAGGCTAGATTGTAATTTTCAAAATTATAGCATATATTAGGTGTGTGCAGCTTCATTCCCAATGGCTACTGTGTATATAATGGGAAAACGTTAGCCTTTTTGGAACATCTGGTCTTTCTAGATGTTTAAAGTGCATAATATATTAAAATAGAGGGTAACTTTAATGCTCTTAAATATTTTTGTTGGATGTGATAGGAATGTGTTGCAGTTTTGTAATGGGGAATTGTTAAACTTGATGTATTGGAATGTATGGCTGACTATGGGGTGATGACAGGAGTGGGTTGGGCAAAGAAAGATATGTGGCAGGGCATTGCTTTGTCCCTTTAGATTGGTTTCAGGTTGGTCGAGCTATTCTAATGTATTTCAGTTAATATTGTTGGGGTAGTTTTGTAAACAAAAAGTTTGCCTGGTAGAAGATTGACAAGGTCAGAGTTGTACAGCGACCACCTAGTAGTTCATGGGTATGTGGCATGAATTGAATGAAATTTACTTTGCCTTTATTCTCAGTGCAGTAGAAAGTAATGGTGGGTTTGCTTCTTTATTTTTTTTGAGGTCAGGGCCTTGCAGTATTGTGCCCAAGTTCTTGAAACTAGTGTTTAAGTAACCTTCTTGTTCAGGGCCTCCTGAGAGCGGGACTACAGGGCTGCTGTGAGGTGTTAAACGAGTAGTGAAAACTCTTCCTTGCCTCTGTTTTCAAAAGAATCACATTGGCTCTTTGGGTTGATGACTAAAAAAAGATCCAGAGCACAAACCAAAAACCAGTTAGGAAAAGGATCCTAGAAGTTCAATTTAGGCACAGTGGTATGGTCCACGGGGTTAAATGTGGTCAGGGGTGGTTAAAGGAGTGAGTCACATGTGAATAGAGACTGTGGTATTCATTTTCCTTGCAGACAGTTCATTCCTTGTATTTCTCCATTTATTTTCCCTTTCTTCTGATAGTGTACAATTCATTGTTTCCATTTTTTTCTCAGTTAGAAAAATGCTGCTGTAGGAAATCTTCTGCACATTCATTTCTTCAGGAGTGGAATTTCCAGGTCATGTTCAGAAAATTGTCAGGGTCATTTTTCTGGTGGATTGCTTAATTATATCCTGGTGTGTTTTTTTGAAAACAAATTTTATTGAAATGTAATACATTTTACACAAGGAAAGTACT